GTAATAACTTAGTAATAGCTTAGTAAAAAGGGTGCTTACTGATACTTCGGATGTAATGCTGATACTTGGGTCAGAACAATTTTAAGTTAATGCTAGTTTCGCTTGGCTGACTTCCAAACAATTTGCATATTTTTGACAGATCCAGAAAAAGCCGGCGTGTGAGCACTAACATCGCGGTAATTTAAAACTGTTGAATAACAAACTCCGAAGGCTTCCAAATGTGTTCCAAAAATGTATAACTCAAAATTTTACTTGAAAAATGCGTTACGATGTGAATTAACGAGTTAACATTTTTCAGAAACAATCAGAGTTTGTTTTCCAGCCTTCAAAACGAGTCAGAAATAAAATATAACATGTATAATATCAACAACATTTTAATTACAATACGTACTTTTATAAATATTTACAAGTGCAAAATATTTTAGTGGAAAACCTATTTACAAAACCTTCTGATTCACAAAATATTTTCAATGCAAAACTTATTTACAAAACCTTCTGATTCAAAAAAATGTTTTAGTCAAAACCTATTTACAAAACCTTCTGATTCACAAAATATTTTCAATGCAAAACTTATTTACAAAACCTTCTGATTCAAAAAAATGCTTTAGTCAAAACCTATTTACAAAACCTACTGATTCTCAGCTTACTTCACGCTAGTTCAGTTCGTTCATGATCAGTTAGAGCGCGCTGGTCCATCCAAACGCGAGCACGTCCTGAGTAGTTGAGCAGCGGTTTTTCTCGTTGTTCTCATACTTCTCCCAACTTGCGAATAGTTTTGCCTGAATGCTTCTTGTTGTACGTCGTTGAATTCGTTTCAGTTTGTTGTCAGAGACCAGCCTAATTGTAATAGCTGTGAGTTTTGCCTCCCGATCAAGTAACTCAATTAAAAGGTATAAGGGCAAACTGCATTGTCCTCAAGCTCTGCGATTGAGGGCGTTATGCCCGCCTTCCAGGTCGTTGTTTGTGCGGACGGGCTCCTTGTACACGCACCAGTTGCTTGGGGTGAATACTTCGCTCTCAATCCACTGTCGTCGGATGTACTGGACAAGTCTCCCCAGCTGGTCGGTTTGGGCCTGCTCCTCGAGTAGGTCGAACATCGGTTGGATTTCCGGATACGGGAGGAACGGGAGGGCCATTAGCTTCCTGATGTACTTGTAAACGGAATTGTCGTCCATGTACGCCCTCTGGAGGCCAAGCTCTTGTACCTTAAAGTAAAAAATGGTAAAAAAGGTGTAAATAAAGTACAGTAAAAACCCGCGACCCGCATTTTACACGATAATGGATTTTAAGTAAGTTCACTGTCAGATGATATAAGAAACTAAATAACATTGGTCACGGTTCAGTTTTGGTCAGTGTAATGAGTTTTTTTTACTTTTAGGAGATGTCTTCTGTTAGGCGTAAGATAAGCAACAACAGTTGTATAAAAGAGAAATTAGATTCTCCATCAACTTATAATCCTGGCCCAGGTCTCTACTTTTTAGAGTATCAGAGTATATATAAGTAAATATAACTTACCGGTGTTACACATTCGATAGTTCCAGCGAAAACATCCATCGCACTGAACCGCTTGCTGCCGAGGCCGTACCAGTTCGTGACAAACAATACAATTTAAAATCTGCGCAGTAGCCATCCTGATATTAATAGTATTCCGAGATAAAGGTTTCCGAGATAATTCGTTAGGAGTCGTAGAGTGTCGTAATCGTATGATTGAAATGAACATTCTTCGCATGCCAGTGTGTTTTATACACTTCGAAGGATCAAAATATCATACCAGTTAGTTTCAAGCAATTGGATTGGTTTATTTAGAAAAATAGGGTAAAATTAACAAGTTTTAACACAATGAGTCTATTCATATGGTAATATACAAGCGTGTGTTTCTTGTAGTACTTATATACTCTTGATCGAAGTTATAATATGCGCTGGAGTTATAGAATTAGTAGTAGTAGTAGTCTACAATGTATTTATATAAATCTCTGTTCTAGAAGTCTCAAAGGTAATTATATAAATCTCTGTTATCGACAAATAAACCTTATAGAAGAACTTAAGGAAAAGGTTGCACACACGCGACTTTATTGTTCTAAGTTAAATTCAGCAACAGACAGCGCAGGTGACGCGTGGCGTGCCGTGCATTTATGTGGGCCCACTGTGTTTTAAGTTGCGCGTACAAGAGAAGGAAACTAAGTCCGAACAAAATAACGGAAGGAAACTAAGTTCGAACGAGGAAATCAAGTCAGCTCAGTCAAGTAAACAACACACAGAAGCAAGAAGAAGTAATGGTAAATTTTTATTTAGAGTAAACTAATACATTGGCGAAGTGACCAGTAGAACGTTGGCCAAGCGACTCATCGCGTTGGCCAAGCAACCAAAGACGTTGGCGAACGTGACGTTGGCGAAATCACTCGTTGGCGAAATCACCAGATACCCTCAGATTTGGTGGGGTTAATTATCGGCAGGTCGGTTTGTTAGCGAAGTTCGGTTTGTGGTCTTTCAGTGTTATGAATGCGTCTTTGTTAGCTGTGATGTCCACCCTGTCATCGATGCCTAGTTTTGTTGCGATGTTTTTGTTTTCTGAATGGATGGCTCGTGTGGTGTTAGGTTGTGCTTTTTTGTAGGACTTTGTGATATTTTGCTTTAGTAGATCGTTGTATGTTGACGGTTCTAGTTTGTAAAAGTTCGTTGTTTTGTCCGCGGCGATGAGCAGCTTGGTTTCGTTTTTTATGCGTTTGGTGTCGTCTTTGAGTTTGTTGAGAAAAGGATTGTTTACTTGTTTGAATTTCGTCTATTGTATTATTTTTAACATGTCGTGTTCAAATTCCTTTAACTCGTCGATCGGAGGGGGGTTCTTGGTAGACTTGAAGCCGTACGTGTCTTTGGAGTGAGTGGTCGTATCAGGGTTGAGGAAGAAGTAAGCTTTCCAGAAGTCGTTTTGCGATGGTAGAGGAATATTCTATTCCATTGCAGATTAGGGGAATAAAATAAAAGTTGTCTGTACCACGAAGCATGCCTTCACTGTCTAGACTGGGAGTCCTAAAGCTTTTTAAGCATGTATTCGAATATCTTATGACGATAGGCCCGCCACCCACCCGACCCCGCGCTATACTGTTTTCACTCAGCGGCTGGTCAACGGTCACGTTTATGAGGTAAACATGGCGATCGCTTCCTGATCACCGTTCTTGGCGATCAGAAAATCAAAATACCAGCGTTATATTGCCTCGAAGATGAAGCAGTTGTTTTATTTGATTCGTAATTCACATTCGAGTCGAAGCTTGGGTGGCACAGGTTATTTCTTACGGTGGAATCGACGAGAGGAATTCGAACACTAGTTGTAGTGTTTGAATTGTTGGAAGAAATGGTCGCATGGGGATGTAGGAATAGTAAGTTTAACGAACGATTTCAAATTTTTCCGCTTGAATTGAAGTAAAGTTCATTTGAATTACTTTCGTATGTATTTCTGACGGTTTTAGATCTACCTGCTTGATTTATATCTGCCACGCTTCATGTTGACAAGTCCCTTAAAATGGCGGCCAAACTTGGAGATTGCCGAAAATTAGGTAAGTTCGCGGAGTTATAAAGTTTTCGTAAAGGTCGGGCCGCAAAGTTTTTTTCTGAAGTTACCTTTTCTATGGCACCTACTTCCTAGCTATGTTAGTTGGGTCAGTTAGGAACGCTTCACTTTTTCAAAAATTTACTTTGAATTTGATCGGTTTTGGCACGTGTGACTTAAGCGAACCGATAAGGTGTCATTCAAGTCTTCCTGTTTGCTTGATTGAAACGTGATGTTCACGAAAGTCACCTCGATAGATAAGATAGAGTTAATATACATGGCTGTGGTATTTGTTTTTTGCTGAGTTCCGTAGTTTTTTGTAAATTGTCCTCCAAAGTTATCTCAATTTAAAGTCTTGAAAAGTGTCACGACAAGCCTTCGCTCGAGTGAAATTTAACTTCCGTAAAACCCTGAAAAATAAAGAGATCCGATCAGCCTTCAAAATAAGTTCACGTTCAAGTTTCCGTATTTCGATTTATAAAAACATAACCATGTAATCATGTCAATATAACGATGGAAGAACTTACCATATATTTTACAGTAATTAGTATTCTATGAGCTTTTCTTCTTTTAATCTGCAAATGTCATGCAGCGTTTTTAGATTTTCTGATTCAATTTTCTTGAGAAGCATACAAAATTACATTGTTCCACTAGCCATCTGAGATGAATTACTGGCACGTGAAGGTATGAATGACTTCCCGAAACCTTTATTCGTCTATTTTTGAAGAAAGGGGGAAGTAGCAAAGCAGGAAAAATTGGACGTGACTAAAAAAACAATCAATTATGTTGTACTGGTTAGACGGGGACTCGCCAGCAGCCGGGCTGGATTGCGCGTTATAATGCAGTCAATATTGCCCAATGGCCTTTGAGTATTGGAGGGTACAGAGGATATGTTAGTCATCAAAAACTGAAAACACATTTTCGAAAGACAATTGTTCGAAAGTAAGTACATTACATTTTAATTGTCCACCGAATAACTTCGGAAATACTTGTTTATATGATAGAGATTTTAACCTCTGCTTGTCGAGATACGTACCTTTAAGGGTGTTGTTAGAAGACATCCGACACAATTTAAATGAAAGGTTCTTTACTGCTTTTTCTTATCTGAGGGTGTATTCGCTTCCTTTGACTCACCCGTTTTTTGGTCGTAGATACGCGAAGCGTAGAAACGACTATTGTTAGGGGTCCGAATATGCAAATTTGTCACTCACTCAGATTTAAAGGGTAACTGACGGCTAACAGGTCACTTTTTTCGGAATACCGTCTAAATGCCTCGGCTAACACATTGAAACAGATACAAGGTGCTTTGAATGCCTCTTTGTGCCTTTTTTCGCCGGGAAAACTGTCCAAGATGCAGCTTCGTGAGTCATCCGCCATAAACGCTTCGATTTTGATCATGTGACTTGACACGTCACACGTGTGTACATTAAGCAAAGTAAATAGGGCGGATAGTACTTCGAGTGAAAGCAGTTCTATTACGGGGTCTGATTATTCGGATTTTGAGGCTTCGATGGAAGGCGAAAATAATGGAAGAGTTTATAAATCTGTTGGTAAAATCAGGCCCTGGCAATTTGAACCGCCAGGACGAACGTAACCTGAAATAGAGCGCGAGAGTCAGAGGAGGATCCATAGCCCGTGCGCCGCGGCCGCCTCAATCAAGAAAGCGAGAATGGTGAGTGCATTTACGATTATAAATAAAGTATCTGAAAATCAGTCGCTTCTTAAACGTAGGAGCGATCAAGTAAAGAAAACCAAATGTACAGACTCTTGAATACCATGGGAGCGAAGTGTTTTTATGCTACACGCACGTACCTTCCGAAGCTAAGGTTTCACTGACTGAAAATATAAACATACACGCTTGTGGAGGTGAATTGGCTGGATTATACACGTTCACACGCAATTGAATCGGTTTTAAGTTTTCCTGTGTTGTATTTTACGAACGATTTAAGATTCCTCGGCTTTTACTTTAAAACGTGATGTAGCAAAAAATAGCATTTGTACATGTAGAATTGTAAATAAAGTAAAGTAGCCTAAAGTTTGAGTTATCTCGCACGTTTGTGACAGTTACAAAGCTGATAACTGTTCTTTTTGGTGAAAGCAATCATAATTTGAGAAACATTACCTGCTTGTTATTTCCGTAGTACGAGTTTGTCGCGGACTCGATTCCTTTTTTTTTTTACCAAAGCACTGCGTTTTAAACGGTGGGTACAAGATAGTCATATGACTTGTGCTTTAATGGTTTCCTCTTTCAGACTTTAGGCTTGTTTTATTTACGATAAACGTGCGCGAGTAATCTACTGTTCACTCAGCTGACATTGGTACATTTTTGAAACGAGTAACCTTTCGGACAGGATTGATTTCATCATGTTTCCGGTTGCAAATAAGAAACAACGCTTGAGCATGGCGCTCATAACAAGGCGATTCTTGTGACATCCGTTTACAGCATGGTTCTGTTGTTATACACTTCCATTGGAAGTTAATTAAACTTAGGCACACGAATGTGCTATACATGCTGCTCAATGTTAGTTGTAATCATTCGTGAAAAACTCTCAGTTAGAGACGAAACGCATCGAGAGAAATAAACAAAAAGTTACAAAAGTAGGAAGTCATCTTTTGTGTTGTCTACTAGTCTCATTAAAAATTTTTTTAAAAGGATAAATCTTGCCCATTTCCGGACCGTGGAAGAAGACTTTTGTTCACGAAACCAGATGACGACCTCCCATAATACGTGACAATACTTTGCGTTTAGTCACGCTCACTCCTGAACCGATGGGCCTGAGGTCACAGTGATACACTCCAGACAAAATCTAAAGACAAATAGTTTTCGGCTTGGAATTAAAAAACATTTCTTCAAGTATAGAATTCGATAATAGTTAAGAGGAAAATTTGTGGGTACATATATATTTTTACAGCTGTTTGGAATAACGTGCAAATTATCTGTGGCTCTGAATACAGACATGCGATCCGTCGCGTTTCGATTATTCAACCTTCGTTATTTTATTTCTCACTTCGTATTTCGTAGTCTTTAAATGGTGACCTATATCAGAATCGAACAAATCTTACTTTTTTTCCGCTCGTAAATTTCGGCTGCAGCTGAACAGCCGAGACGAATTTGTTAGTCTCAGGTCTTGACATGACACTTTTCACTGCCTTACACACGTGTGACGTATCACATCACGTGACCTGAATCGAACCGTTTTCAAAGTGGCCGTCGATTAGGCGTCAAAAAAAATTTGTAGAAAATTTAATTCTGCACAATATATCGTTAATTTGCTCATTTTGGATTCTTTAACCTAAGAGGAATGTATTGGGACAAAAAAAAAGGAGAAAAATTTGGCGTCAGTAACCCTTTAAACAAATCGATATGTCAACGGCAGACCATCTGATATCGATATTCCGAAATAATACTGAAGTAAATGCCG